ATGAGACTTAGACCTGAGTGCAACAATGGAGGCTCTAGACCCTTCCAGAGGTGAGATATCAAATATCAAAATTTCGACCAGAAAAAAAAAAACGACAGTGTTACCCCTTACGTTCTTTTTTTGGGGCGAAAAATTAAATATCCCCAATCTTCTCAAAACTCTGGATTCTGATAGAGGGCCATGAGACTTGGACCTGAGTGCAACAATGGAGGCTCTAGACCCTTCCAGAGCTGAGAAATCGAAACTCAAAATTTCGACCAGAAAAAAACAACAGTGTTACCCCTTACGTTTTTTTTGGGGGGCGAAAAATTAAGTTTCCCCAATCGTCTCAAAACTCTGGATTCTGATAGAGGGCCATGAGACTTAGACCTGAGTGCAACAATGGAGGCTCTAGACCCTTCCAGAGCTGAGATATCGAAACTCAAAATTTCGACCCGAAAAAAAAAACCCGACAGTGTTACCCCTTACGTTTTTTTTTTTGGGCGAAAAATTAAATATCCCCAATCTTCTCAAAACTCTGGATTCTGATAGACGGACACGAGACTTAGACCTGAGTGCAACAATAGAGGCTCTAGACCCTTCCAGAGCTGAGATATCGAAACTCAAAATTTCGTCCAGAAAAAAAAAAAACGACAGTGTTACCCCTTACGTTTTTTTTTTCTTTTTTTGGGCGAAAAATTAAGTTTCCCCAATGTTCTCAAAACTCTGGATTCTGATAGAGGGCCATGAGACTTAGACCTGAGTGCAAAAATGGAGGCTTTAGACCCTTCCAGAGCTCAGATATCGAATCTCAAAATTTCGACCAGAAAAAAAAAACGACAGTGTTACCCCTTACGTTTTTTTGGGGGGCGAAAAATTAAATATCCCCAATCTTCTCAAAACTCTGGATTCTGATAGAGGGCCATGAAACTTAGACCTGAGTGCAAAAATGGAGGTTCTAGACCCTTCCAGAGCTCAGATATCGAAACTCAAAATTTCGACCAGAAAAAAAAAACGACAGTGTTACCCTTACGTTTTTTTTTTGGGGCGAAAAATTAAATATCCCCAATCTTCTCAAAACTCTGGATTCTGATAGACGGCCACGAGACTTAGACCTGAGTGCAACAATAGAGGCTCTAGACCCTTCCAGAGCTGAGATATCGAAACTCAAAATTTCGACCTGAAAAAAAACCCGACAGTGTTACCCCTTACATTTTTTTTTTTGGGCGAAAAATTAAGTTTCCCCAATCTTCTCCAAAATCTGGATTCTGATAGATGTCCATGAGACTTAGACCTGAGTGCAAAAATTAAGGCTTTAGACCCTTCCAGAGCTGAGATATCGAAACTCAAAATTTCGACCAGAAAAAAAAACCAGTGTTACACCTTACGTTTTTTTTTTTTTGTGCGAAAAAATAAGTTTCTCCAATCTTCTTGAAACTCTGGATTCTGATAGAGGGCCATGGGACTTAGACCTGAGTGCAAAAATGAAGGCTCTAGACCCTTCCAGAGCTGAGATATTGAGATACCACGTAGCATTTATGCCATTATAAATATCTCAATATCTCATCTCTGGAAGGGTCTAGAGCCTTCATTTTTGCACTCAGGTCTAAGTCCCATGGCCCTCTATCAGAATCCAGAGTTTCAAGAATGGATCAAGGGAAGAGAGCTGAATCATGTTCAGACGTTACTTACCTTTGACCTTCATCCAAACAGACAAACCTATTTACAATCCAGGACAAACAGGTGAGCTGTGAATGACCCTTGGTTGAAGCTATCAGTTGTGTCCATGAATCCCGAATTTTTGCCCTTTGATCAAATGGTAAGACCTTAAAATGAAAAGCAAATTAAATGCAGGTTCTTTTAAGATGCAGAAATTTCAACGTCAATGACTGCTTTTAAATGTTTATTATTTCTGTCTTTCTTGCAGTACAATCTGGTCGTGGTGGAGGTGAGTTTGCTTCGGTGTAAGACTTTGACTGGAGCCAATGCAGCTTTTTGTTCAGTGGACAAATGTTTCCTCAACGGGGCTGATATTGCAGCTTTCAGATCCTCAGCTCGTTAGGATAGACTCTATGTCTATCCTAACGAGCTGAGGAGCTGAATCAGGTGTGTTAAATAAGGGAGACACGCATAATATGCAGAGTAGTGGGTCACGATGACTGGAGTTGAGAACCCCTGCACTATTGCTGGCTTTTATTGCTGACCAAGAAGTCTCCCAAGTTTTTGAGGTGAAAAAAAAAGGCAAGTTGTTGTGTAAGGGCAGTTCAATGACAAATCTGAGGCCTTAACCTAATGCGGTTTGTTTCTGGTTTAGTTTTGCCCAAGTTTGACGTGACTGAAAGTTGAGTCTTGTGCCAAGTGAGTGATGCTTTATTTTCTTGTCTTGTGATTGGTCAGTTCTTTATCTTGTTCTTTTGTTTCCCAGATATACACATGGCCAACCTGTACCTGGTCAAGCCTTAGTGGAAGTGTGACGTGATCCATTTCCATACATTCTGCTTCATAATTTGACCAGACGTGTGACTCTTGCCTTACTGCTGAGGGTTTTCCTTATGCCTGTGCTTGACTTAATTGTCTATCTTTGTTCTCCTACTAGATGAATGCCATGGGCTGTGCCTCTCTTACTGTTGATGTGTTAGTGTTTTTCAACACCAAATTTGAAAAGAATATCTTTGTAAAAAATAAAGTAAAAAAAAACAAAATACTGGAAAAAATAAAGTAGTTTAAAATGTAGTCTTTTTTTGTGTAATGGTCTTTTGTTACTGAATGTGATCCTTTAATGTGGGTTTCGAGGTTTTTTCTTAACGTTTTTTCATTTTGAGTTTTTTTCTTTTTTAGGTTTTTTTGAAAGACTTAAGAGTTAAAACTACCACAATGTTGAAATAGTATATTTTAATACATCCAAAGCAAGACTCTAGTGTTCATGGAAGGAATTCCTGCAACAACTCATAAGATAAGCAAATGTCCATGAACATAATCCACTTTTACTGCCTGCTACAAGTGGAACATACAATTCACCCTTAATCTGCTTGTGATCATGGAAGCTGTGCTTTCCATCAATGCCTTTTCAGTCCTTTTGATGTGATAAACAATTCACCGTAATTCTCACATCTCCTGAATGATTATGGAAATGCTATGTTTATTGTCTAGCTTCAAGCTAGTCATCGGTCTTGGCCTCCATCTCCTCTGCATCATCGTCTCCGTCCACCTCAGCATTCTCTCTCTCCAGCCGCTCTAACTGCCGAGCCAGTTCTGTCTCATCCGTGTCCGTTACAACTTTTGGCTGTGGGGATATTGAAACAGGTCAAATGCTACATTCAAGATAGCAAGATTTACAGCAGCACACTGAACTATACCTTCAGTTGGGAAATCGTGAGCCAGATAATTTCTCACCTCCATCTGAATGTTGAAGACGCCTCTCTTCTCTTCGATCTTCTCTTTAATGACAGCCATGGCTTGATTGAGCACAGAAAGGCCCTCTGTGCGCTCCAGTGTGGTTGTGGTCATAACGTAACGTGGAGGGGCAATCAAGTTGATCTGCAACAAAAGCAATGCAAATAGTGAGCAAACCTGGATCACTAGGGGGGTCTACTGGAAGGTTTCATTTGTTTTTGTTTTTTTTTTATTTGCATTTGAAAACTCTCAAGATGTAGGGATATTTGTACTTTTTTACTTGATTTTTAAAGACCTATATCTAAAATATTATGCCAAACTACTTCAGATTTTTTACTTGATTTTTAAAGACCTATATCTAAAATATTATGTTAAACTACTTCAGATTTTTATTTTATTTTAATAAAATATATTTTACATTTTTACACCCCACCCAAAAAAATCCAAATAAATTTAGAAATTAAAAACATGTTCATCAATCTCTGTGTGTATGAATTGCATTTTGAAAGCATCTTTGATTAAATGAATATACCAATTTATACCTTGATTGGCATGCAGTCTGTTGAACACGTAAGTCCAGCTTTCAAAGCTTCTTTCACTGCATCGATGCCCTCATAGCCATAGCAAGCCACCTCAATGTCCGCTCTTATTTTGACAGCCTGCGGAGTGAGTCGTCTGTTGATGTTGTCAATCAGGACGGCCCTTTCCTCCTCCGTCAAATCCAGACAATCTAAAATGGATGGGTCCCTACACAGAAAAAGAAACCACATCTTTATACAGACATTTTGAAGTTAAAACCATCTTTACAAAAACAAGGTCTTTTCATAGCCAATAGGGATCTCACGGTACCAAAATTCCAGTAGTCAGTACCGATACCATTAAAATGTTATGGATTTCGGTACCACAGAAAAATCAGTTTGAACTATTTTTCCAATGTATTTATCTATTAGAAAAAATGATTTAACATACACTACCTATCCTAAATTTAAAAAATTATCCTAAATCCTAAATTTATTATAGGATTGAAGCCTACATGTTTAAATGAAAATATTGATGATATTGAGAAATTTTGCATAGGAAAAAAAAGTGAAAAATAAGCAACCTCTATGCACACACTATTAGTAATAATATTTTTAATTAATGGAGACGTAGTTAAATCTATTATACAGTAGCCTAATATAATTATTTCTGTCAATTTATTTAAGTTAAAACAAACTTTTATTTTGACGGGTTGCCGTGAAGACCTTAAGTTTCTGTGCGTGTTTATGACGATAGTTTTTCTCAAATGAAACGGTTAAGTAAAATGCTCATGAAGTGACTCTTGGAAATGAACGGAATCATGGATCATGTCATCATAACGTGAGGCAGTAGAGACTGAAAACAGCGTGAACATTACGAGTGTGAACGTTCAGTGTGTGTGTGAGGTAACGTTTAAGGAAACCGTGCGTCTTCAGAACATGCAGGGTTCATATTTAAATAGTCGTTTTGCGGTTTAATATACACAGACGCCACATCAGCAGCGCCGTCGGTCGCCATGTCTCAGGGCTTTCATGAAGAGGACGCAACCTCAAGCCCTTCGTGCATGCATGCGCATCCAGAAACAGGTTTGACTGGGTATTTGGTACTGTGACGTTTAAAAACTACACTAATAGCCAATGGTCGATAGATGCATGCATACTTACGACACAGCCTGCTTAAAGATGTCATAGGCTCCGTATCCTGGCCGCTTGTACTTCTCATCGAACACCCAAGCAGTTCGCTGGTACAGACTCTCGAGCTGCTCATCTTTGGTGTACTCTAGGACTTCAGCTACATGCCTCAAAATGCTGTAAACCTATAACAAACATACATACAGCATCTATGAAACCACTTTCACAAGTGAGCAGCGGGTCAAGGTAAGCCGCCTTTGATTATGTAGCGCTTTACACAATATAGACTGTTTCAAAACAGCTTCACAATAATAAACAGGATAATAATGTAAATTTCAAATTGAAGACAAATATAAATCTGCTGCAAGACAGAACTACAGAAGACAATGGTGTCATTATTCAGTTCAAGCCAGTGTTGATTCAATTCAGTTCAATATTTGTGTTAATCAATAATGCAACTGGTTCAGTTCAGATATAAGCAGCTCTACAGAAGGCAATAGAGTCATTATACAGCTCAAGTCAATTCAGTGTTGATTCAATTCAGTACAATAACATTGCCAATGTTGTAAAATTAGTCAGTTATGAAACAAAGTTAAATCAGTTATAATGCAGCTCAGCAGAAAACAGCTCAAACAGTCAGCTGTGTCAGCAGTCAAACATTATTATGGGTGTAACAATATCATGTCACAATGACAATATAACACAATACAACGATTCACCATGACGTAAAAAAACAATAATAGACGTTCTTCCGGGTGGCAAAAGCCGAAGCGTCCCTATGGCAACACTAGTAAATTGCTTGGAGGGAGACACACCATCGACAGGATCTGAATCTACAATTCAACAGTTGATTCAAAATCAGACGTGGTGGAAATTCAGACATACTTTAACATGATCATTAGAGCTTAGATTCTTTGATCTAGAGACGTGCACTCCCAACGCAGCGCATGGCCGAGTGCGAGCACGGGCGGTAATGCATTCACTCTGTGTGTGCGGATTGCGGGAGAATTAAACAATTCACGGGACTCCCGCAAACTAGAAATATCTATGAATAAAACAAATAAAAACTAATACATTTTTATTCATCTGTTGCAGAAAAGCAATAAGAACAACTAAAATAAAATAGAAATGATTTACATGGCAGAGCTTCTTTTTAAAACATGACTGCAGCGATGAGCGATGTAGCCAATCACAGACATATGTGTGGATTTATTGAACACAATGCCCAATCAGAAGGATTTACGATAGACTCTCCTCACCGCTCAAAACGGACTTTTTGTCAGTGCTGAATTCTGTATGCTGGCAAATCCAGGGAACTACACTAACCTTTTCCACTGGTGGCACTTGCGCTACTAACTTTTTCAGTTACTGGCGCAAAACATGATTTGGTCGCACAAATTATTTATAGTAAGCCGCACTCTGGATAGTAATGAATAATAATGAAACTGCATTAGGGGTGGAACGGTACAGAAGTCATGGTTGGGTCGGGTTCATACCTTGGTTCAGACATTCAGACGGTTCGGTACGATTTTGGTACAATGGAGTGAAAAGCAAAACAAAAATGCAGAAGGCATTTTTATAAATGTCTTAAGCCTCGTATTTTTTAAGTTGTTTAAGTTTTATTAATAAAGGCATACCAGTTTATTTGTAGTGCACTGACAATAGTTTGATATAATTAGTTTATTCATTAAATTAATAAAAAGACAAAATGAGCTTGATATATGTTTGGTAATTGTACTTGAATGAATGTAAAATTAATTTGCAATATTTCAGATCAATATATTTGTTTTCCTTAATTTTAACTAACCCTAACTTTATTCTCATCTGAATTATAAATACATGATTTCCGTATAAAATAATTACCATTAAAACACATTTGATTTTCTTTTTTAAATCAATGTAGAATCATACGCAGGACTGTTGGAAAGCTGTGATGACAATAAAATGATAGATTATAAATATATCTCTGGTTGTTCCTGTTCCACAACATTTTGTATGTCATGTTTGGGGCGTGGGGTGAAGAGAGGGATATTTTCAGTAATTATTTAATAAAACATTTAATTTATCTTCAGTGTGTAGTATTAGCCAATCAGGTGTCTTGACGCGAATCACGCGATTATGATTATGAAAAAACTAACGTTAGTCTAAAAAACTGCTAGTGATCATATAACGTTAGTCGATGTCAATATCAGCGCTAGCACTATAATTAGTTAGATCATGGCAGAGTTTATCGGCCGAACACCAGACCACAAATCTACCTTTGGTGTAAGGAAGAGACACGGTGTCTTACATCTCTGCGTCTTTTTCCTGCCGCCATGCAGGCTCAGATGGTAGCCTATATGATTATGATTAGCATGCCTATTATAAAGACACAAACCTTTTCATGTCATTTGAATAATATGCGCGCGATAGAGAGAGAGAGCAAGACAGCGCTTGTGTTGTGTGAAGACGTGATAGTGCGCGCGCGGCCAGGGCGCGCTCTCTCTCTCTCAGCTCATTTGCGCCCTGTCAAACGCATCAGTCATTCTACTCTACAACACTCACCGCGATCAAAAAAGGCTTTGGCGGGACAAAAAGCGGACGATCCGACGATTAAATACAACCCGAAAGAAACTAAAAAAAAACAGACCCGTCAAAATAGTCAGTGTTACATTTGCGACCCATTAAAAATTAGGGTCGCAATGGGATTTCAAAAGGTCGCATATGCGACCATTTTGGTCGCAGTGTAGTTCCCTGAAATCCTCTAATTATAACAAACAACTGTATTATTAAAGATTTATTGTGCAGTCAGCTTCATTGATAATAACAGATGTGTGATCGCGATGAACTGATGTCAGCTTTTTAGGAGCGCACGTTGCGCGCATTCGGTCATGCCAAACCATGCACGCAGCCTGCTTGCTTTTATGTCATAACAGTGGTTTGTGTGTTAATGCTTTAATAACAAATAGTTTATCAGGAGCATTTATGCTGCTGATGTGTATGATGGCGACACATAGGCTAACTTGGAAAAACTATTTGGAGGTACAGAAAAAAGTCTGTTTGCGTGCGGCAGCGGGACAAAACATAAATGTTGCGGGCGGGAGAAAGTAACATATATAACTGACGTTCTCAGGTAACTTACTTTATAACAACCCACGTATTAAAAATGGTTGGGTTTAAATCGGGCTCAGGCTCATAATTAGAAGACGACATGCACTACTTTTGACGTCCACTCGCTTTAACCTCCTCACCCACAGGTTCCGCTGGATAGATTTACTTTTTTCTGAAGGAAATCGATAAAAACCCTACACATTTTGCTGTATATCTGGCACCACAAACACAACACGTTTTCGCCATCGTTTCAATTTTAATCAACAACAATGATTTTAACTATGTAACTGTTCAGTTGCCGGCTGGATCTCTTCAGTTGGTCAGTAGAAGCCGCTTGCGTTCTGCCACCCGGAAGTATTGCGGTGCCTATGTTTACCAATATTCTGAAATGCCCTATACAAAAACGAAACAATGTGTATTGAGTAGGTAGCCCTCAATCGGGTCATGGGGTCTATACGAACCCAATCGACTTTTACTTAAAGGGGACCTATCATGCCCCTTTTTACAAGATGTAATATTGGTCTCGGGTGTCCCCAGAATTTATTTGTGAAGTTTCAGCTCAAAATACCCCACAGTTAATTTACTATAACCATTTGAAAATATCATTTTTGGGGCCTGTTTAAAAATGAACTGTTTGGGTGTATACGACCTTAAATGCAAATGAACTGCATATCCCCGTCCTGACTTTGGATGAGGGCGTCACTTGATACCTATGGCAGTTGGTCTTTTGAATGTCATTCAGCGTACGTTTGAATCGGAATATATAAAAAGTACGAAGAGACTCCGGAAGAATAAACACATGAAAATGGACCAGTATATCTCGGTATGGTTATTTGATACATTTATGTACTTATAGAGTTGTAATTGGGTCCCCTTTACAATTATGGATGTGCAACACACAGACACAAACAAACACTAACGCTGGCGCAATTACACATACTGTGATAAAGTTTGCTACGTACAAGCGAAATTACATTTATGCGAGGGACCTGTTGCATCATGTTTAAATGTCATACAGGTGCTTCTTTGGCAAATGTAAGAAGATGGCCAACTTACAGAACAACATATATGCAGTTTTTAATACAGCATCTTTAAATATATATTTATAAACGTGTGGTTACACACTATACAAACAAGGTTTAAATTATATACACAGACATCCTACGACGACAACAACTTTAGACGCATTTGTTGTTGAATTGGCTGTCTGACATCGACTGAAATGACTATTTGCTCAAAAATCATAAAATACACTTACTGGAGGTGTCGGTGGATCGCAAACAGTAGACGACGATCCACACTTGAGGATTAACTTTTAAGCCACAACAGAATTAACCCACGACAGAACATTTATGTTTCCAAGAGACATTACCGGCTATCTTTGAAACAATGGAGGATGGAGAACAGATCACCGAGGGCGGGGTCTATGCAACAACCACACTGTCAATCAAACCCCTTGCTCAATTCTACGTCACAAAGCGCTGAATCTTAGAATATGTTTGTAATATGTTTATGTTAGAATAATGTTTGTTTAGTTTATAGGATTATGCATGGTTTGGCTCCACCTCCTTTGGCAGATTTTATTAAATCTAAATCTGTTGAAAACAGAATTACAAGAGGTGCAATTAGAGCGGATTGTAAAATTCCACGTAGGAAAACATCGTTCGGTCAAGCTGTTTTCTCATACAAAGCTTCACATCAGTGGAATACAGTACCTCAACCAATTAAAGAGTGCTCATCATTTAACTCTTTTAAGCTTAATTTTAAGAAATGGCTTCTACATAACCAACACTGTGAACATTAACGCTGCTCCTCTATTATTATTATTATTACTAACCTTATTATTAATTTTATTATAGACCTATTCTTTCATACTTAATTAAATTATTTTTATTTTCTTTTTCTTTTTTTCTTGGATTTATTGTATATCCAAAATTGTATATGTCTGTATATATATATATATATATATATATATATATATATACACACACATCAGTGGAGATTTCTTTAAGACTGCAAGGGAAGCTCAGCTTCCCCTATAATGTCAAACAAATAATGATCAAATGTGTACTATTGTGTTAACATTTTAATGAGTAAAAATGCGTTAGAACACGGTAATCTCGAAGACGAGTTCGTTCAGAATAAGCTACAAATAGCAGGTCGACTGACTTGATCTCCTTCTCATGCATACCTGTAGCGCGTCACAGTGCATGCATTTTCCTATGGCATTTCCCCGTTGAAGCTCGGCGTCCATTGACTTCAATGGGGCTGCTTTGAACAGTTTTTTTCAGTGCTGTTAAACTAGACGGTCATTGGATAAATGCTGCGATTATGTCCCGCCCACGGACGCCGGGCGTCTCTGGGGTGAATAGGGAAGTGGGCTGGCCTGGCGTCCGGGCGTCCGCGTGATGATTGGAGGATTGCATCTCCTTTTGATTGACAGCGATTTCACCCAATAAAAAAAATCGCTGACGCGGAAGCTAGTTTAAAGACTTCGTGCTCAGTCTCGTCGCGAATTTTGTGTGTATTTTACTCGAAAGACGAACTGCTGTAACATATTTCTTAGTATTTGCAATTTTCATCAGATATTTCACAGTTCAACCTAATTCCCACATTTCTTCCGTCGATGTCAGGTGTCTTGTTACATGTGCGGGCGACGGCGTGGTGTTTGAATCACGGCACATCTGTTTAGTTTGGTTTCACTTTTGTGTTGGGATTCGGACATGCATTCTCCGCGTGTTTGTTTTCGGTTGTGAGTGCACAGGATGACCTTATGGTCGTACTCATGCGTAACGTTAGCGTTCTGTCTTGTCGTGTTCGCTCTGTTCAGTGTGTTGTGTATTGTGTGGCACATGGTTTGTGTTTACATCGGCTGCGTGCTTTCATGTCATGTTTTGTCTTGTGCTGTGTAGCACACAGCTTGTGTTTTACACTAGCTTTCATGTTGTCATGTTCTGTGTGAACACGTGTCTTATAAGTGTTCTCATCGTTCTTCAGGTCTCATTTTGTGTGAGCACAATTGCTTTTTAATTTGTTTTATTGGTCATGTGTTTTTGTCATGTTTGGTATGAGCACATGGCTTGTGCTTGTCATGTGTTTGTTGTGCCATATGTGCTTTCCTGTCATTGTGTCGACTCCCATCTTGTTTCCTGATTATTAGTTATTTTGTATAGATTATTACCCCACCTGTCCTCCCTCGTTACCTGCCTTTTTTGCTCCCAATCTATTTCCCTTGTTTTTTTTGTTTTTTTTTTATCAATAAAATAAAGCCCATCAACTCTGCATCGAGTCCTCGCTCTTTTCACCATCCCCACACCTGACAGTCAAGTTTAAAAAAAAGAAGAAAAAAGAGCTTCCCCTCTTTGAAAGACCAGCAGCCACCACTGATATATATATATATATACACATTGTATTTTTGTATACTTCTAGTTTTATGACTGTTGTATTGCTGTAATTTTTAACTCTTTTTTTTTTTCTAGTTAAGAGCCTAAAAACATCTGGCAAAGGGACTACCAATGAAAACTAGCCTTTGGGCTAATTTGGGTACATTTACATTTAAGAATGTTTATTAATGTACACTGTCCCTTTTCTAAATAAATAAATAAATAAATAGCTTGTTCTGAGACAGTGCATATGATTAAATAGCTTGTTCTGAGACAGTGCATATGATTTATTGAGATTGTAAAAAAACCACTGGGTGGATTTATCATTATAGGGTGGTTTTGCTCATAAACTGCCAACACATATTTATGTTCAAACACCATGTAAAAGTGAATTTTCCATAATAGGTGCCCTTTAACAAAATAAAAGGTTCCCTTCATCTCAGTGGAATAAGATTTTGTGACTTTTCATACATTAAATATCTATACACACACACACACACACACACACACACACACACAAAAACTGGGCTTGATTCGGTTGTTCTGAAGGTATGTAAAAAAATGTTTACACTTCTGGTCTTCGGGGTCAATATGAACCCACATTGAAAATCGATCACATTAAGTCTTATAAAGCAGGTCAAAGTGATCAAAGCATTTTCACCATTAAACAAGTAAGGCATACTCACAGTTTTAGATTTTGTGAACTTGTCTTCGCATTTAATGGCCTCTTCAGGTGACACTCTTCTTTTGGATAAATCAATGTAGCCTGTGGAAATGTGGACATCACAGGTTAAAAAAGAAGATGGATGGAAAAAAAGCAAGAAACTTCCATTTCAAACACAGTCCCACCTTTCTCCTTATCCACACGAATGACAACCACACATTCATTGCGTCCTATCCGGATGAGTTTGTTGATGGATCTGATTCGTCTCCTGGAGAGCTCGCTGAGGAGGATCATTCCCTCGATGTTGTTGTACTCCAGCAGACTCACATAGGCGCCCATCTCGGCTATTGACCTGACATTGACCATCACCACATCTTCCACCTCTGGAAACCTGTGCTGGTAAAATCTACAGCTGAGTCCTGGCATCTTGAACCTGGAGGAGCGAAAAGGTCTCACGTGAGAATGCTGTCTATGTAGAACGCTCACTAGGTTTTAAAACACAGCCAGAGGATTTAACGTTAGAATGAGAAAAGCTTCTTAGTTAAACGGCCTTTTATATGGAAAACTTAAAAGTGTGAAGACTGGAGGCTAAAATTAAAGACTGGAGGCTTTAACCATTACTTTAAACATTCGGTAAACTATAAAATATGCGTTAACTGATGTGAGAACACAAAACACAGACCACACAACTTTCTGCCACAACAACCACTTACCGATTTACAGGAGAAATGTGTACAGGAATTTAGTCAACGTCCTTTATTTGATGATGACAATCTAAATGCATATATTATACAGAGTAAGAAGAAAGAGGAACGGAAAAGCGGCGTCTCTATTCGCTATTTCATCAGCACGTTGAAAAGCAGGCGGAAGAGCAATCCTAACTTTTGTTCGCGGCTTGCTAGGTTGCTCTGTACCGCCATCCAGTGATTCGGAGGCGCAATTTTTTTTTCTTTTAACGCGTCAGGAAATATTAGATTTTTTTCCCCACAGTAAATATTTACATTATGTAAACACATGTTATTCATAACAAAACTATTCATGACATCCCACAATCGTACTTGCACTTAATATTAATGTCTTGGTACTTATTGATAGTGGTTTATAGCTGATATAATCCAGGTCACATTGTTTGAATTTGGAATTTTCTTATAGGTTACTTATCAAAGCCAGATGTCACATGATCATTCATAAATTATTCTAATATGCTGATTTGGTGCTCAAGAAACATTCCTGATTATCAATGTCGAAAACAGTTTTTGTGGAAACTGTGATAGCCTATTCAGGTTTATTTGGTGCATAGACATTTCAAAAGAACAGCATTGGTCTAATATATATATATATATATATATATTTGTAAATATTTAGAAATCTTTTTGTGACTTTTGATTCATTTAATGTAGAATTTCTGAACAAATTTATTCATTTCTATTAAAAACACTTTATTTTAAGATGTCCTTTTTACAGTGTAAGTGTACACCTGCTGTGTAATATTTATTAATAACTCAGACTTACTAAATTCTGTCTTTTATTTTCATGACAATTAAGACGGTTAATTTTCTCACCAGTCTCATTACCTATAATGCATGTGGATATTTTTGAGTTTGTAATTCTCATTCCTATAGCCTCATAAGCATAGCCCAATGAAAATAACCTTGGCAGAAAAGTACAACGTCAAATACAGTATAGAACTGTGAAAAACTACTTCACAATTTTACATGGTATTTTAATTCAGTTTGTTTTGCGAAACTGTTCTACTCTAGGAATGAACAGTTGAGGCATAACACTTTCGAGTTTTTATTTTTTTATTACTGGAAAGCTGATGTTCTGAATTTAAATGAAATGTTTGCACTGAATCTTCATGCACTAATACAGCTACCATCACACATCCATAAACAACAAAGACAAACACTATTAATCTGGGCTTTAATTCACTTGTATAATTCATACAAAAACAGTTGAGAAGGTAAGGTGATTCTTCTTTTACATTCATTAATTCTACTTCCAGTTGACTGGCATGTAACTAGATCACATGAGACACAGCGGGTTACCGGCTTCGTCCACACTCAGAACACAAACCAAACTGTAGTGCACAAGAGTAAAAACCTCAACGGTGTGTTTTCCTAGTGTCTGAGCTATTCTGTACATTAAAAAAATATTTAGGTTGTTTTCTAAATACACACTGATTATCTCAAGAAAAGAAAAACAACAACAACAGTAAAAACAGTTCTGCAGAACAAATCTCATTAAAGCTGGTTGCAGTGTGTGCTTGAATCAGCTATGGAGATAATACTTGCCTGCAATAACTGACAGTCCTTCCTTTAAAAGAGTTGTTATCAATCATACACACACACACACCTTTCTGTGCATCAAGATCAAGAGTTCTCTACTTCCATTTGCACTCACACACCCCAAAATCCTGCATTCACAAGCATACCATCCACACACACACACACCCCTCACCTCAACACAGAGCTGATGTTTCATTCATACTTTTGATAATCCAAAGTCTAATGGAAGAATCTCATGAAACTCGTCCAGGTGAGATTACACCCCCCCCAAAAAAAAAAAAAAAAAAAAAAAAAAAAACATATTGTATAAAGTAAATGGAGCCTGTTTTTAACCACATTATTGTCACACAATTAAGCTGTTTTATTTTACCGTAAAAAAGTCGAATTATTTTATTAATAATTTTCAAAAGCAATTCAGAGATTGAACAGTGACAATAACAATACACACCATATGATTTTATGAGCGCAAATTAAGGGTACAAGAAATATCTCATGAGAATTTGGAGGAAAATGCTCAATTGATAATATCAGAACCTAAAAAGATTATAATGCTTAATGCTTTTCTTAAAGGTAATGAAGCCCGTTTTTCTTTCTGATTTAGGGTGAAATATAACCAGGACATGTTCTTCACAAGTTTCATGAGACCCTAATAATGTAGAGCATCACCACAAGCCCTTTGCTCATGTTGAAATGGGTAAAACACAACACAGAACCTTCGAATCCAATCAAAAACAAATCACAAAGGAAACAAATTTAAATTGTGCAGAAGCATTGACTAAGACTAGGCCGTGCTGACGCTCAGATGGTGAACCTCATTGTATTGCTGTCAAATACTGTTTACAATACTGGTTACACTTCTGAGTGCTGGAAGTGCGTGTGAATACTGAGACAGAGAGCATAGACTTAAATTTAGCCGCTTACATATTGCAGCTATGTTCAGATGTGGCCAGACAAACTCTCAAAAAACATCAAGTTTACTATTAAACTCTGTCCTAATCACAGTGTTGCTTGCCATAGGAACATTCAGGCAGCGCCACAGGGATAGAAGGCATCAGTCGCTTCAAGAGTTATCCCTTTTGGTGTCTTGTAAGGTTAAAAGAGTTGTTCAGACACAATGGGCACTGAACTCACTGCTGGAAGTTCTGGTCACATCGAACATCAAAGGTTAAGGGTGAAAAGAGGAGGAAACAGAGTGCACAAATGTCATTGTCCACTAATAATGTCAGGGAGCCAAACGTGTTCTGGAGTCTGAATATCTCACCGGACTTTTTAAAACGGTGACTTTTAGTACAGTTGCTTTTCCGCAATGCAAACCCATCTCCACATTTGTCCAAAAACTTCTTTAAAAATACATATAGAATATTTACAATCATAAATAGTTATCAAAAGCAGTATAGAAGCCCTAATTCTACTGCTGCACCAAGTGCTGGTCACTCTCTCTCACTGGAATGTGGCTAAACGGACTCAAAAACACATCATGATCAAACAAATTATGACATAAAAACTCCTTCCCTAAGCCTGCCGACAGTGCAGACAGACACTTCTGTCCAGGTATGAGGGGGCGTGGTGTCCTTATCTAGTGTCCAATGCTGGGGTATAAAAACAGCGGTATTCATTCAACTCTATGACACCCGAGAGTGTGTGATTCTATCTGCTCTTCATTTACATCTGTCTGTGGAGGGGTCGCTGTGAGTGGGGGTCACCTCAGCGCAGCCAGGATGAGGGGACCCACTGAGGTTCAGTGTCTAGTTTATTGATGAGACGCAGCAGCTCCTGGTAGGCCTTGTCCAGGTCAGTGTTAACAATGGCGGCGTCAAACAGGTGGCCGTAGTTCTGCTCCATCTCCCGGGCCTTCTCGATAATGTCTCTCAGCTCCTCAGGCTAAAACAAGAGAGAACAACAACAACAAAAGTGTGAAACCAAGAGTATGTGAGTGGATTTGTAGTCTAAAGCTGGGTTCACATAGAACATGTTTCTGTGTTTAAAAACGTGAGACAACGGTCAGGAGAATGGGAAAAAGCACAAGGGCCGCATCCGAAAGCTTAGGCAGCTGACTTATTCCCTCGCTGCCGTATCAGGCAATGACTTTGAAGGTTGTGTTTGCACACAAAGGTACCACACAAGCATGACAGTTTAATTATGTACAACTAAATAGAGGGAGCTTTGGAGCAAATATTTAATCACTACATTACTAATTTCTTTATTTTTCAAGCTCAACTGTCATCAAATGGACGAATTGATCAGATGAAGGCATCTCAGTTGACACAATGTGACGTGATCATTGGATTCAGACATGCATTGTTGCCCCTCTACCTTTGTATGCAGCATTTTTGAGCTTTAAATGCAGCCAAGGTCTCAAGATGATGCAAGCACAATGGTCAAAAGCATCTGACTAGCACTTGTTTACATAGAACAACCACGGTGGAATGCTATAACACATTCTGTGTGAATGGAGTTGATCCTTCAGGCTCGATGTTTACCTTTGGGTTTTTGTTGTCTTTAGCTAAGAGGGCTCTCAATCGCTCCTGGGATGGAGGAGCAATGAAGATGATGTAGGGCTTGAGGTCCGAGCTGCGCAACACTTTTAAAGACTAAAAAGAGAGAAGAAAATAGTGAGTGACAAGATTTCTAAAGGAAATTAATGTGGCACTTGCTTTGCAATGGCAAAATGTTTGGAAAGGAAGCTTCTGGAGGACCATCTCCCAGCAGAGTTTAGCTTCAATCTTAATTAAACACAACCTAAGCCAGCTAATCAAGGTCTTCAAGATCACTAGAAACATCCAGGCAGTTGGGTTGTAGCTAAACTCTGCAGGATTGGATGTTTTAGGAGATCCCCAGGCATTGTTGCACTGTTTCGAAAGTGTTCTGAGTGGTCCATCTCACCTGAGTGTGTACACACAGTAGGCAGATTTTGCCCGTGTTGATGACTTGTCGGACCGAGTCTGTGCTGGTACCGTAGAGGTTCTTTTCAAACTCTCCAGACTCTATAAACTTCCCTGCTGCAGAGTCCATCTCAAAAACCTGACGGGACACAAAGTGGTAGTCGCGGCCATTCACCTCAACATCACGACGGCTTCGTGTAGTGTCTGTGGCAAAGAGAGTTTCATGTTCAGGACTTAACCATAAAATAGGCTGATAAACAATAATAACAAAAACAACATTAAATGTTTTCAGATACTTACGAGGAACAGCGCCAGCAAACCTGTCCGGCTCACTGGAGAGGAGTCTTTGTCTGAGCTCATTTTGCCCACAGTTCGGTGGGCCGATTAGAGCAATGGGCCGTTTGCGATTGGCTGGCTGGTGGTATAGTGCCATCTCTTCATATGTGAGAATCTCCTCATTATCAAAATCTGCAAAGCATGAGGAAACACATTAAGCCCAAAGTATACTTTGGTTTTGCATGAAGTGTGCAACATAAATTTCATAATCAGCACAATAGACACATACTGCACATGCACATTGCGTTTTTGCTAACATGGATAGTTGTTACACAGTTGAAAAAGAAAAGGATGCGACAGAACAGCAACAACAAACTACTGGAGAGGGTACCAACAACATACTGAATTATGTAGGAGCACCTAATAAAAAAAACCTTTTCATGCTTTATAGGGGTCTAGATACCCCTCAGTACGTACACTTTCATTCCAATATTTGTCTGAAAAGACTCACCATCATTTTTGTTAGCATTGTATTGCATCTTCTTTCGCTTCTTCTTGTTCTTTTTAGCACACCAAAGTTTTCCTGAAACCAGAAGATGAGCGTTAATGAGAATCAAGAGCTGTGCACGTATGAGTTTAGGAGTGTTACAACCCTAACCTGATTTCTCAGGCTCTTTATCCTCCTCTATGGTTTGCTTCATTGCCTCTCTCTGCTGCTGGAAACTTTTGCCTGGACGATCAAATGAGAAGACAAGTCAAGTCAAGTCAAATATATTTATATAGCGCTTTTCACAATACAGAATGTATCAAAGCTGCTTCACAGTATCAATCAAAACAACTTAACAGTGTTTGTTTATTACTGAAAAAAAGACATCCAAGTTTGGTAGAGCAGATCAATTGTATGATGGGTCATTTAATTTGAATGTCCCCAACTGAGCAAGCCAAAGGCAACAGTGGGAAGGAACCGAGAAACTCTATCAAGTGACCTAATGGTGTCCTAAAACTCCATCAGATGACCCAATGGAGAAAAAAAAAACCTTGGGAGAACCCAAGACATGCAAGGATTAAAGTTAACGTAAAAAAAAAAAAAAAAAAAAACTAGATCGAATTATTTAAACACAGATCTGGATCCACAGAATAACATGTGATATAGGTTACCAGGGACCAGGCCAGCAAGAGGCTGGTTGTCTTCGTCCCCATCTCTGTAGGCCTGCCACCAGTTGGGGTCGTCTTGGCTGATTATGTGGAGGATGTCTCCCTTCTGAAAGCACAGGCCGAGCTCTCGGCACGGCACGTAGGGGTCATCTGAGGGGTCGTAGTCAAAATGCGCCTTCACATGCGTCTGGGTGAATATGGAGATGTGGGTTTAATCATTAATTAGTTTGTGCACTGCTTCATTTAAACAGCAATTTATTTAGTTCTGACTGAAGGCCTCACCACAGTCTCTTTAATGGGAGGTGGTTTGATCTGCGCGCTGGGGATGAGAACGAAACTGAGTACGCCATGCATGTCCGCCTGTGAACACAGCAAACCTTTATTTTGTAAGCAAGGGTATAACAAAAATGTTCCGTGGCCAAAAAAAAAAGGTATTTGGATGCATAAGTAATATTAAAAAAATATTTTAGAACTGTTTTAGAACAGACTTTTATGAATCTTTGTTCTTCCTGCCATCTTTCTTTAAGATTAATTACCAGGATATCGAAGACCTCGTTGACGTCTTTGCCACGGATTTCCACACCGTTGATCTCCAGGACCTCGTCTCCTTCGTGCAGGAGGCCGCTGCGTTCTGCCGCCCCTCCTTTCACAATGCGGCTGATGACCACGCTGTCCATATCGTTTCTAACAGTTGCCCCCTGCATAAATACACACGTGCACATTAAGTCAAAATGTGTCAAAAGTCAAGAAATGCATAATATGGTCAGAAGAGGCAGTGAAAGAACGTCCTCACCAATGGGACGTCCTTGGCTTTCTCAATCCGCACGATTTTGACAGTCTCCCCGCCCCACTGGGTGAGAGTCTCACTTGCATTGACAGAAGGAACAAGAGGCTCCAGCTGCATCTCTTGTTCAGCCACACTGTCATGGGCCATCATAAGTGCCTGGAGGATATAGAGAGCCAGAGATGATGGGTTATATTCAGGATGAAAGCCACTGAGTTCTGCAGAGTAGACATGAGCCTGACCTTAATGTCATGCTATAGAGTTCAAAGAGCCCAGGCTCTCGGACAGGGATTGTGATTGCAGCTGTGAGCATCTGCAAAGCAGCATAGAGCAGTGGTTCTCAAACCTGTCCTGGAGTACCACCATCACACCCGATTCAACTCATGAGCACATTAGTAGAGACTGCACGACCTGAAATGGGTGTGTCAGATATAGGAAGACATACAAAATGTGCAGGGCTGGTGGTACTCCAAGACAGGTTTGAGAACCATTGGCATAGAGGACACATGGGGGAATGTGAGGGATGTGTTTAGTACATGTGATGGAGACAGACCTGCATGTGAGATGTCCTGAGCAGGCTGCTTAACTCAAGTCCATCCTTCTGTGAGCTGTTGTGCATCATGACCTCGACCTGTGAGGACCGATTTAAAAAAAAAAAAAATCAGATCATCAAATAAATACAACTTCTACATTAATCATGCTTTAAAGTACTTTTTACAGTGATGTTGTTACCAAAGTACCAGTAATTAGGGCTCCTGATTTCAGCAGGTTTTCTTTAGGTTTTTGTAAACACAGTACAGCTTTGTATCATGGGTTCAGAGAAACTGGGACCTCTAAGAGGTTTTTGAAATGAGTCATTGTAGTCTACCATGTTTAAATTATTGGATGTAGAACATATAAGTATAAAGGGACATTTTTGGAAAACTTTGAGAAATACAGTATTTATGAGATTATATTTAAGATCTTGATAAGCTCAGGATTAGATGTGCCCACATTTGAATAGACAGTCCACACTGCCTCTGTCCCATGGAAGCATTACTGTGAGAGAAGAGCATAGGTCAGTGGATCAGGGTCTTAATGACTGTGAAGGACAGAGCAGCTCTCTGTCTGTTATTGTCCTGAGAGAACCAAAAACAACAACAATGAGTTTATCAGGCTCTCATTAGCACTTTCCACAACAGTGATTCCAACTAAAGAGCCTTTTTACCAAACATCAGCTTCATTTGTGCACATACTCAATCATTTGGGTAACTATTAATGTCAGATCGACTGAACAGTCCTTTAATCAGGGTTATGAATTATGCGTGGTGCCATCAGGCAATCACATTTTCATTACGTAATTTTCTTATGATTAATCAAATGCCATTGACACAACTTGATTATACCTTTATTATACCATTGAACTGAAAAAACAAAAGTAGCCAATGTGCAGGTTTTATTTTTGTACACTGGCAACAGGTTTTTTGGTTAACCAGGAGCCTGAGAATGGTGTAATCACTTTATTTTTTTAGGGAAAAGAGTTGGGTGAGGTGTGTTAAGTAATCATTTTAGTAATGTTCCATCTGCTTTACTAACCATTTGTTGATACCAACAACATACACACATACAGAAATGCACTGACAGCTTGTGACTATGATTATAATTTAACTGAATCTGACCGTGTTGATGACTGTGATGATCATTCAATACAACAGGAAACAAATAGTCCGAAATTGTTCTTTGATGCAAATTGATTTCGAGGCTGTGTTCAATCAATGTAATGGAAGCATCAACAAATGAATAAAGGTTTTGTGCAGAGTGGAATTATTAATTTAATGCATCTTTGCTGAATAAAATTATTACTTTCTGTATGTGAAATATTTGTCCATTGAAAATGTTCTGGATTTGTATGTTTTATGATGGGACCTTGAACCTTTTATGGACTTAAAAAGGACCATTACAAATATTCTTCTGATCATTTTGTCCCCCTCTCTTCTCCTCTCTGTAACCCCTGATATGGCGTTAACAGTTTATGAAAAAAAAATTGTATGTGATACCCCTAGTTTGTTCTGTTCTGTTGAATGTGTTCTACTAAAAGCATATATATAAAAAGTATTACTTTCTTTATTTTTAAAAAATAAAATCTTGCTGACCCCAGTTATGAATGGTAACGTAATTTTCCATCTACATATTGTTAATCTCAGTCAAAACACAAGACCTACATTAGACATGGAGTTATAGGTTTGGTTATAGGTTTGGAGGGTGGTCACAATCATGTGGCTCTATCCTTTTTGGCCGTCAGAGAGGAAAAACCCTCAAATTTTTTGTTTGTCTGGCTGTTTTTTATTAGTAGCAGACGTATTCTAAAGCCATAAGTGTCAGAGCACTTCTTATGATTGCAGCATCCACATTTACAATTCATGAATGTTTCCTGCTCATCTTTCCATGTATGCAACACTCCTACATGGAAAGGGGCACTCCTCTTTCCATGTACAGTATGTAACAAAGTGGCGCTCACCTCTTGTGCGAGGATTAGTGCGTGATCCGTCAGGGGGTAGGGAGGGCTGGGCCGGTTCATATTGTAGGCCACGGCGTTGTGAATGTTGAAGGCTTTCTGGAAGTCAGGCTTCTGGACCAGCTGTAGAACCAGCTCCACGTCCTCTTGACTCTGAGAGTCATTTAAACTATGCTGCACCTGCTTGAGGGACATCAACAGGTCCTCCAGCTCTGAAAGTAACACACCAACCATACATTCAGTCTCAGTTATGCTTACAGATCACTCATGTACTTGAAAACAGTAAACACCCTGCCATTAAAAAACAGAAGAAACAGTGACTTGACCCAGGGACAACAGTACATACCTCTGAATCATTCACCCGGAAAACTGGTGACATGGCCTCTCACAAAGACTCCCCCATTGAGCATTTTTACTGTTCCTGTTTTACATCCACACTGAACTGCGTTTGAGTAAATCACAGATGTAATTCAGCTATTCTAGTGTTGTCCTTGACGAACCAAGTTTTAGCTATGCTGTAATTCTCCTTTATAGCGTCAAATGCCATAATGAGAGAATGGCAAGACACAATAGGAGTGAGAAGTGGGTGTGTTTTCTTTGTGTGGTGTGTAATGTCTAAGTGGGTGGCTAATAGAGGTATTAGTGTGGACAAATCAAATATTTTAAGTGTTGCCTTTGCTTTGTCCTTGACGGGATGTATTTTACAGACAATTTCGTGCCACAAAGAGTTTTGTATAGTCCAAAAAATGCATGGAGAGAGCGTGACAAACAATGCAGAGATGAACTGGAATACAAACAAAAAGGAAAACCGAAGAAAAACAGTACAGCAGGAGCGGTCTGGGTCAGAATGTTTCATAAAAGGCTTTTTAATTAACCTCCCCCTCTGAGGGTCCTCTTCTCCCACCCTGAGGAATTTCACTCACACATCCCTCGGCCATGACTTTCAGCAGCAATTCCAAGTGCCCCTCTCATTTGCACACTAACTCATTTCGTTCTTCCTTTGCCATGCATGCTGGACTTCCCCTAATGGAGATCTATTCAAAACCAAGCATTCACTAGAGGAGCTGAACATGTGTGTCTATCCAATTTAAAGAATTAAACTCCAGTGAGAGGCTTCATGCAGAGAGAAGCTAAAGAGAAGGAATATGAGCTTGTCTTGTGAGGAAAGCAAAGTGAAAAACAAATGTAGAAAAATCAGCTAAAAAGGATATTAAAATAGTGAGGCATATAAATGGACTTTTGTCTTCATTTAGTTTCAAGTCCAGTGGCTCTTTGCCTCTTGAACACTCTTAGTCATCAGAAACACGGCGCTTTGCCTCCTCTGAGAATGACTTCACTCATGCATGCTGATTTTAGCAGTCAACAGCCCTTCAGTAACTCAGATTCAGATTCAACCTCTCATTACCATAAATGCTACTTGCTTTTTTTTTCACTATTTTTGATGACATTGTGGAGGGCAACGGATGACTTATCTTTCCTGGGTTTTATAAAAAGTCTGAATGTCATTGCATTTCATGCTGGGTTTTTTTATTTTTTTTTTATTTACAGACTATTATAGTATTTAATATTATTTTGGATGAACTTTTATTATTACACCTTGAATTTTGATTTTAGTTGAAATTTTAGCAGGGTTGTTTTTGCAATTAATTTTATTTTTTTCATTTCTATTTAGCTTTTTTTTTGTTTTAGCATTTCTAATTTTCAATAAAGTTGTATCTAATATTGATGTTTTATTTCATTTAATGAAAATGACTGATGATTTTTAATAGGTTTAGTTAACATTAACAACAATGATATTGTCTTATCACTAATGGACAGTAGGGATGTGATGGTGAGGAAATTTTCCCACTGGTTAATTGACCAGTGACAACACTGGCAATTGCTTCAAAACGCTTATGGTGCATTTCCACGTGCGCGGAGCAGAGCGAGTGTTTCAGTTAATTTCTACAGAAGTTGAGCCTCACACTCAGTGTGAAGTTAAACTTCCATATGAACGAACTGAAAATCCTCGCTCTGCGCCAGTGGACATGCACCATTATGAATGGCTGTGTGCGTTTTACTTTTCACTTTCGAATTAGCGGCAATTCGGGGGCGGCAATTACTTGAATGGTGGGTTCTTTATTATTCATCATAATAAAAAACACAACAACAAAAAAGTACAATGAAAACTCACTGCTGCTGCGACTCTTGGTCGGGTCACGCTGCTTTGAGCAGTCGCGTTCAGTTTTTAATTGTAGTGTCTGTTCTCTATCTGAACAAATTGATTTTTATTACAATAAAAAAAATCTAAGCGATGGTAGGGGTGGTGCTGTGGTGGGCAAGTTGCAGCTGAAAACTGGTAACACCAACTATCGCAGCAAGCCTAATGGACAAATGACAGAAACGAGGAGGAGAACAAAGGGGATTGAAAACTGGAAATGTTGCAAGCCAGATTCGAACTTGTATCACCCAGATAGACACCATAAATCAGTATGTATGCTTAGTACACTACGCTAGGCCACAAACAATACCGCTGCTTGCTCTGCATATCATGGGTGGATTTATAGTGGCAATCTTTGGAAACAAATGCTTCTTAGCAGTTTATTACACCCACCTAGTAAAGTTGGTGGTGCAGTGAGGCTCTGAAGACCACCTATGGAACCACCGGGACCTTCCATTTGCTCAAAGGTGGGGTTATCGATGCCCACCTTGGGATTTTGGGAAAGTTTCTTGAGGCGCATGGACGAGTTAAGGTCGAGTTCCTGCCGGTTGCGGCCCTCTTCCTCTCGTCTCCTGCGGTCCTCCTGTTGCTGGCGAATCCTTTCCAGCTGGGCACTGCGTCTGACAGGCAGGGTACGAGCACCCAGCTCACTGGGACAGTCCACCGCCATCTCCCTGTGCCTCTGCACCTCCTCCAGCATGTCAGTGCCTCCCCCGCCATCTGACTCAGTCACATATCCGTTCATGTGGGAGGTGGTCATCATGGCTGTGTGTGTGTGTGGTGAAGTGTGGTGTGAGTGTGTGTGAGGTATGAGGGTTAGGAGGGGTGCTTTCTGCATGGTGTGAGGGCTGATGCCATGACAGCAGGGCTGAGGTCAGTAGCTCCGGACAGAGAGCCACACCTGGAAGAAAGGGAACTGCGGTTAGAGGAGTCTTCCACAAACAAGGATATTTTATGTATATTTAAAAATATTTTTATTCACATGTATTTATATGAATTATGTATTAATTTAAAATACCACCCAACATTTTTATGGACAAACTAAGTATTAAACCTAATTCATAATTTCTTTCAGAACTGTTTGTGCTACAGATATGAATGATTCATCAAATCATGTGGCTTGAGGAGAGAGCTTCAAACAAAACAAAACAAATCCTGTACACTTGCATAGTAGGGACTGATGTGATATCTAGAGATTAGACACATGTGGCTGAATGATTAATTGAAATAAAATCAAAATGGCAATATGGATGCAATTATCAAGTGACAAATCTGTGATTTAATTAAATAAATATATGTGCAGTGCATTTTAAAGTGAAGATCTATCTAGTTGTTTTGTCATTTAATAGCCTGGTTGACACCCAGACCCTTCTCAGTTGCAACAGAGTGGGTCTGGGGAAGGTTCAATCACAGCCCATTTCCAAAGGGGCGTCCCCAACGGTTGGTCAAATGCCTCGGGGTGCAATTGGATAGACCTAAAACCAATCAGAGCAATCGTCATCGTGTAAAGCCCGCCTCAATGTTTGTGAATGGTACCTCGATTTGGAAAAATTGGAAACGGACTTGAATGGGCTCTTGGCCAGAAAGGACTTGCAAAGCAAATCTCAAATTTGCCAGAAGTTTGTCAGGGTTTTCCCAGGCTAGTCATTTAATTATAATTTTTTTTAGGAAGAGAAAGGGGGAATGGGTTTGGGACAAGACTCAGACTGGACTCAAACACGGGTCCCATGAGCAAAACAGCCATGTTGAGCAAAGCAATGATGATTAGGAGTACTTATCCATGCAAAACACAAAAACCTCTATGCGGTCACAACAGAAAGTTATCTTTTCTTTATTAATGTACCCTCATTCAAAACAGCTGATTAATAATGCTATTTATGGCCTTCAGTCCAGTATGAGTGTACAGTTATTTAAAGAGCTGTGTCAAAAACGGCACAATACGATGACGAAACAAAAAAGCTGTCCTCACGTTAAAGGCTCAGAGCGATAAACAGCCACACGGTCCTCTTCTCCACCGTAGTGGCCTTGTGGTTGTGAGTGCTGTGTCAGCTGTCTGAGACAGGCCAGATCACTGTTATCTGCCCCTTTATCATCCCCATTTCAGACAGCTGACACTTTTCAGAAAACCCCAACTCCCTTTTTCAAACCCCCAACAAGACCTTGCAGATGTGAGCGGCCCTGACCCTTGACCCCTCAAGCCTTTCCTTCCATCTTCTCAGACAGTTTTCAGTAACAAACAGCCCTGAGTCATGGCTCTGTCACTCAGTGAGTCAGGTGACGAGGCGTGCATTTGAGGGAGACACTGGAAGAAGAGGGCATTCAAGCAAGGATTTAGAACTGAAGTGTTTGCAATTGACTAGATACCAATGTTCTACCGTTGAATTATGCATGAGACAGTGATACCATGTAAAATGGGAGTCTTCTTTCAAAAAACCTATCCCATAGGATAAAGAAAGGACTGCACAGTGAGGATAATGGATAACCTTTGTCCCTTCATCTACCCCTCCTCCATTCCACTTTCCTCATTCCTCACCTCTCTATCTACTCCCATATTATGGGCACACAAAATGAGAACCAGCCCATGCTGATGAAAAATCATAAATATAATAATATGTATCTGACCTCCTGACAGTTAAGTGTCTTACACGGGTAAGAAAATCTGAATACTGATGGGACCCAGATTAATATTGTATATTTTGTTAATGAATAACAGTTTTTACCAGCATTTCCATGACTTATTCTAAAATGATTATTATTATTTATTATTATTATTTTTTTTTACAATAGTGTCCTTGAAGGTTAGTTTTCAATATTCTTGAAGGCCCACGCACCTCACAGGAGCCTGAAAAGCTGCAAGCTAATTTTGGGAGTGCTAAAGGCAATTTAATAAGTTTTAAAAGTTCAGCCTGACCAAACGCATTATCTTAGCTCCCATCTTGTTGGAGTCAGTAAATAAAGTAGTGCTGATTACATAAGTTGTTACAGAGTAAGTGGTGATGGCTGAGATGAAATCACTGGAGTTTCTGGGAAACTCTTGATTCACTCTGCCTCTCAGTCTGACCTCAGCGGAGCCTTCTGTCTGATACAGAACCTCTGTTATCTTTAACACTATCCCTCATTTAGTCTAGCTTCACTCCTCACTAATGGACTGCTCCCCTCACTTCTGCCATGCCCCACCTCAGTTTCCCCTCCTCCCGTTAAGACTGCTCTGAGATATCTGTGCCGCACGACTGCCTAACACATTGCCATGACAACAGCTTTGTCTGTGGGCGGGAGGTCCCAAGGCCTGAGAACCAACGGAGGAAACCACAAAGAGGACACACACACACACACACACACAGGGGAGAAGCTACACGGGGGTCCTCACCCGTGTTTGCCAGTCAGCCCAGGATAAGCCCTCCAGATTGTAGCAGGGTCTCCTTTCTCGTCAGTTCTGACACGTCTGCCTCCTCTCTTGCCCTGAATGCTAAAAGTCTGTTTCAGTTGACCCCTCCTGAAATAGAGAGAAATAGTGAGTGCACTATTAATAATGGTGACAGCACAGACATCCCAAGCATCCCGGAAGATCCGGGAGTCTCCCGCATATTGATATCTTCTCCCTGATGCCCGCAACGGAGTTAAAATCTCCCGGAATCTAGAGCGAGATAAAACGTACTGCACGCATAACATACATTGCTGTGTGTGCACGGCAGAGAGAGAGAGAGACCTTGCAAGTGTGCCTCACGAAAGTTAGTCAACCCCCGTGACATTGAGGCATTGAGATCCGGATCTGTGATCCGATCACAAGCTGATGACACAACTCTTAAATGCAGGTGACTACAGTGCATTTTTAGAGTAAATGCTAATCTGTCCTGATTTGCCATGGACAAGAGTAAAGGACTGCATTATCTTCAATAAATGCTAATAATAAATATAAACATATGCACACACTACCAGTCAAAGTCTCTTAAGTTCAGCAAGGCTACATTTATTTAATCAAAAATAGTAAAAAAAACAACAACAAAAGCCCAGTAGTACTGTGAAATATTACATTAACAAATTGTTAAATTAATATATTTTAAAATATAATTTGTTACCCTGATTGCAAGGCCGAATTTTCAGCATCATTACTCCAGTCTTCAGTGTCACATGGTTCTTAAGAAATCATTCTTGCTGATTTCAAGCTCAAGAAATATTTCTTATTTAGTTGAAAAATTTCCCCAAAAAATACAGTTGATAATAAGAAATGTTTCTTGAGCACCAATCAGCATATTCAAATGATGTCTGAAGGATCGTGTGACACTAAAGACTGGAGTAATGACTGCTGAAAAAGCAAAGAAGCTTTGCCAATATAGATATTTTTGTTTATAGTTCCTGCGTGCCTTCATTATAATTCACACAGCCATCTCGGATATCATCGTTGTGCAGTGATGGAGCAACAATCCCATAATGCACACGGAAGGAATGCAAAACAGCCTGGGAATGACATTCCTCCTCAGACCAGACCAATATAAGAGCTTGCAAATGTCTGCATGCAAACGCAAACTCTTTCTCATGCAACCTTAATACCAGATTACTAGCGTAAACCAAAGTAAAGGTTACATTAAGACACAAAAGAACAAGAGCTGAAAAGCAGGGCTGCTGTGAACAGTGATTTATTTCATTAAGACCTCTGAGCCACTGTTGTTTGTTTGGATGCAGTTGTGCAGATATATCGACAGGAGAAAATCCAATTAATCTTTCCTATAAAAAGATAAGAGGATTGTAGCCTTACACCTACACACAGATGTAGCTTGAAAGTAGCCAACATCCACGTGAGCGCCACACACTCCCTACATTCAGATACTCTTGCTGACGTTATTATGGTCTTTTCCACACTGCTGGCCACAGATGAGAACAATCTTAAGGCCGCCTACTACACCGCGCTAGAGACAATAAGCAATACTGAGCCATATCAAACAATCCCCCTGACAATGCCAAAAAGCCCCATACATTTACACAACAGACATCTACCTTTCATGAGAGTGGCTCAAGATGGACGACTGAGGTATAGTGCTGTACATGGTTCAAAATGAACACTCAACACCAGCCAAATGAAAGGAAAAATGTCCTTTGGCAAGGAAATTTATGGAGTAAGTTACTGAAAAGTTGGCCACAATTTGTGTTTAGGAAACGCTACAAGGTTGTAAATGACAATACAAAACCGATAGTTTGGCCTTTGCCATTGTTTTATTCTGGCATCGGTGATGTGAGCAAATCAGGTCTGGTCATATCAGAGACATTATGCACAGCTATGTTACCGTATAGGCTACACACACACAATTTCAAATACCTTGTAGGATTGAAAATAATCCAAGACATTTTAAATGAACTTTACTGTGTTACTGTCTTTCAACCACAAGGACCATTTGGAGCCCCCAAAGTACACAAATCTTGGCCTACAGGCCTTGATCACTATCAGCCCATCTCTGTCTTTGTAACACGACATATTAAAGTTCATTTCAAATGTCTTGGATTATTTTCAATCCAACAACCCTATTAGACAATTATTTTAGAATCTCTGTATTTTATTGTGGGCTGAAGGTTCAGTTTCTTTTCATCGTCTGGAATCGTTTAAAGCCCTTTGAACAGTTTGAAGTTTGCACTGAAACTGTCTTTTGGACCTTGAACTGTTTGGTGCCCAGTAAAGTGCATTATATGGAGAAAAATCCTGGAATGTTTTCATCAAAAACCTTAATTTATTTTCGACTGAAGAAAGAAAGACATGGACATCTTGGATGACATGGGGTGAGTAAATTATCAGCAGAAGTTTTTTTTTAAAGTGAACTACTAAATATATTACATATTTGAACATATTTGGCTTTTTACATTTACATATTTCACATTCAGCTGTTGCAAATTCGTTATTACCCCTTAGCAGATTTTGACTGTTTTCTCAAACACCACACAGTATCGGTTTTCCTTACAATGTCAACACACCACCCAGCCCTAACAGGTTCTTTATACTGTAAATGTGCACTGTCAGGAGAAGGGAAGCACTTATTGTCCCAGCTTTGCAGAAAACCACTATTCTTAAAAGCACATGATTATTTATTTATTTATTTTTTAAGCATTTGCAGCGACTGTCTTCTTCCACAACTAGGCACTGCACAATATTTTGTATTGCTCGGTAGCTCGATCCGGTTTGTCATCACGAGGTAGGGATCTACGTTCTTTAGCTATGCGTGTACTGCGTGAATCGGTGGGCGGGGCTAGGCGTTGATCTTCTTCTGCGGGGGTGGTGTTTTATCCTCTTTCTCGTCATAGTTCCCTACTTTGAAAAACGAGTCGTTTGCTGAGCCTGGTGTCAATAAAAGCTTTTATTGGACTAACAAGGACGTTTTCAGTTCTGAAACTTACAGGATATTCTTATAATATGATGACCTCTTAGATGTCAAAAGCTCAAGGAAAATTTGATTTCTCAGTTCTTTAAATGCCATGGACAAGAGTAAAGGACTGCATTATCTTCAATAAATGCTAATAATAAATATAAACATATGCACAAACTACCAGTCAAAGTCTTTAAATATGTTCAACCCTTTAAATGTTCAGGGTTCATATAATATTTTTATTTAAAAGGGCAAAAACATTTTTTTAAACCAACAGATGGTGACGAACGACAACACGGCAACAGACACAGACGCCAGTTTTGTCAGATCTGTGGTCGGCGCTTGTTTTCTTCCACTGAACATGTTAACTCGACGACTGCTGGGTCGTGGAGTGTCTGAGAATTGACATTACTGTAATTTGGTGATTGTCCACTCTGCATTGGTCACCACCTGTGTGTGAATTGGCCTTAAAAAGTAACTTGCAGACTAATTAAACAACAATAATGTTTGTCTATCGCTAAACAGTGTTTTAATAATACCAAGATAATAGCTTTCACAATTATCAGGATATAACAATTCAATACTTGTATCAGGCATTTGCTGAGCCAATATGAGTTAATGCTGTACCCTGAGGCTGTGCAAGGCGGCTTAATTAATGATGTTTTACAGATCGTGCACACGTATAAACACAAACATGCTAACACCAATACAGACTGTCTTGACGATGTTTCCCCTTCCCCCCTACTTGATGACACAACACGCAGTGGAGAGCATTAAGACTGAAAAACATAAATAAAGCTTCAAACCATCTGCTGTTCAAGAGCTTAAGTAGCCTACTTCAAACCCTCCTGTTCCATTCAGCCACTGGCTGGCCACGACTCAACTACAGCTCGGCCAAGCACACTAAGCCTCTGGCCTCTTACACGGGGAATAGGGACATCTGGGCTCTTACTAAGAATCTGCCCTTTACACTGATGTAGTAAACCAACCCAAATCCAAACATTAGCTTTTATCGGCTAAATAATCAGGCTGATCTCTGATAAATGCCAAAGGAAAGGCTAATATTTCCCAGTGTGGAAGACCAGGGACGAGGCGAGGTAGATTAGGAAGAGCACGTTTGTGGTGAATGCAGGTGTTTCTAGCCAGAGCAGGTGCAGCACGGCTGGCCCGAAGGCAGCCAATGAGACTTGAGCATTAGTGGGAACTGTGTCAACAACCCTGTTGTTTTTCATTCCACCTGGGAAACGTTCCTCACAGATACTGCGGCTGTGTGAACACACTACGCAATGCACATGACGGCCTCTCACCGGTCACATTCCTGGCAAGATTTTGTGATAAAGTAGTTTCGCTAATGTAAATGAAAAGAGAATGCAAACAAGTATTGTCAAAGTAAACAGATGATACTGATCAACTCTGACTATCATTACACTAGTTCTCATTCATTTGAGAAAATCAGCTACTAATAATAAAAGATTAAAATATGTGATTTAATCTATTTCTCAAAGCAAAAAACCCAGACAAAAATGACAGAATGCGGTCATAAAAATAGCTATTAAAGACAAATGACATAAGAAATATGGTAAATGGAAGCTCAAATGTGCTTGCTGCTTCCTTAACTCAAGTCGCCATTGCCTAGTAATGGAATTAATTAATGCAAATTAAAAAAATCTATATAAATCTATTAATTATCAATTTCAAACATTATTAAAGTAAACAATCTGTAATGAAATAAGTTCATTCAACAAGCAATAAAACACAAAAATTAAAGATTAGAGTGATTGGTACAGAAATTGAATAAAGTAATCAAATGTAAAACACTGTATTAATTAAATATAGATGAATCCCTAATAAAGTTACCAAAGTTGTTCTGTTGTATGTATCCCTTTGATCAAATTTCATTACAGTGTATTGTGACTATTCTATAATTTTTAAAAAATATAATATGCACATCCTGCTTGCAAAATGATGAGTGGCAATTCAACCTGTCTGTAAGAGTATGAAGGCTCACTATATCATTCATATATTATATTATGGCCTGTTAGCTTAAACAAACAGCAAAGAGTCCCACTCAATGTACAAAATAAAATGCATTATTCACATGAAGGATGTTTTATTCCTTGGCCTAGCAGAACCTGTTACTCTGATA